AAGTACTATTCACCCGAGACCTCGTTTGGCTTATCCGAGTTGCGAGAGCATCACCACCCCTTTGTGGCTTGAAATGGGGGGGAGGGGGTGAGGCACTGAAATATTTCAAGGCAGCTCTTGTGGTCGGGGTTAACACCTGGGTGGTGGGGGTCGGGCGAAATTTCAGGGTTATCCTGGGATTCTCCATTTCAAGAGACAGTCGCCGTTCGTTTCCACAGGCCACCGGCTTACTGAGGAAGATGGCTATGAAGGGCCCTCAGAATGGCTCGTTAGCACCTGATCCATTCGATGTAGTGCTAGAATCAAAGGCAGCGCACGGTGAACCACTCGTGGAACCATGGCTCCGAAACTGCGCCTGGATACTCCTGCTGGAATCCTGCCTCCGGAGGGCCTGGTGCAGTTCTGCCATGTGGCCGCTTGCGCGGAGCCCATGGGCGATGTCTTGTTGGACACGAAGCTGAGCATCTTCCGGTGCAGGTGGGCTGTGTGCAACAATGTGCAACACTTGCATCGCCGCAGATTCCTGCGTTCCAGGTGTCAGATGATCGGTCCGGGCGGTCGTCTGTCACACCACGAACGATGGGCGTGTCTTGGCTCACATGGCGCCACAACCATTTCCCCCAGCAGGTTTTCGAAGGGAAATCACCACATGGGGCTCCGGTGGCCTTGTTTCTTAGGCTGCTATTATGTTTCTATAAGAAATCTACTAAATGCCTACCATGCGAGGATCCGGTGGCTTCGTTTATTAGGCTGCTGATATATTTCTAAAAGAAAGCTATCAAAATCCTAGTACGCAGGGTCCAAATGCTCGTTTCCCACAAGCACGGCCGTGATCACAACCTTTTCCCCAGCAGTTTCCTGCAGGCCGCCCAAAACAACCCTGGCCCAGGTACTTCAAGCACATTTTTGCATCAACGAGCTCCCGCAACTTTAGCAAGGGTGTGTACAGCAAGTTTGCTCAGGTGGTGCCCGGGCCAAAGAACCCTCGGAAGGCTTTCGTGCGCTTCCTGTGCGAAGTTCACCAGCATGCGCCTGCTTTGCTGCCGGTGTGATGTGGGATGTTCCAGACATTCTGCACTTAGTATCCAGTACATGTGCATCCCACATCAAAAGGGAAGCTATGGGCGGGGCAGTGGCAACAGGATTCAGAAAAGCTGATGCCTGTTGGCGCAAAAAAGGAGTGCTGGCGATATTCCGAGATTTACCACTGCATGCACAGATTTGCGGAGCCTAACCTACCTACCTCCTCCTCCGAGCACCCCGGCTGAAATTTCACGGAACCTTCACCCCCCGAGGCTCTAATCTACTTCATGCGGGTGGCTGAAACGGATTCAGCCTTATAGGGTGCGGGCCTCAGATCCCCCGCCTCAACATGGGGGTGCTGATGCGAGAGCGCAAACCCATGACTACAGCTCAAGCCTGCGACTTCGAGGAGCTTGTGTCGTCGATCTACCTTCCCGAGCATGAACTTCTCTGCGAGCATGAACTTTTCTGAAAAGTTTCCCATTCTGGGAGCCACCCCCGCGGCCGCGAACCCGGCTGCCAAGTGGGGAGGTTGCAGCTGCGTTCCCGGTATGTGGGCTCTGTTACTGTGCACCTGCATGGTTGTCACACGGCCCGAGCCAAGCAGCGGGTCCGCGGCCTCAGGAAGCGGCCAAGCACAAGGCAGAGATACCCTTAACAAACCATGAACCTGCGTACACTGCGGATGGCATGGCCTCGCAGAACTGGCAATAAACCATGCGTCTTTCTCTGGCTGTGCCTCCGCTTGGGGAACGACGTCTGACTTCATGGATGCCGGAGTTGGGCCCAAGTAACCTCAATGGTTTTCGTTGTGGTTTCAGAATCCACAGCTCCGACACTGACGTCTGCATGCACTACTCGCTTCCCTGTGGGCAAAGTGTATGCCATACGATACGAAGTGGAATTGACATGGAACACAGCGTCATGGAAGAAGGCCTGCGCCTCGGTCTTGGAGACATGCACGTGCGGAAGTCAGGAGTGAAGCTGCGCTTGTACTCGACGATGGTACATCTGTCCGGGCAGTCTGCTGTCGCATATTTGGTGCTACGCTACAGCAAACTGGACCCACAGCCTGATGCAGAATACCTGAGTGGCAGTTCGAGATATTCCAGCCGTACGTGTGAGATTCTGGCAAATTCAGGTGATGCAACCCGAAATCGCAATCTCAGAGGGGCTGGAAGAGGTTTTGCAAAAAAACTAGCAATGGAAACATCGAGATGTACTGAGTGACCTCAACAGTTTCACTGAAGTCCAGTAACCTTGAACTTGCAGCAGTTGTGGGGTAGAACTTATGAAGAGTTGACAGTGACACGCCTCGTTGGAATCGTCGTACCCTGGGTACCGAAGCTAGTGTGTCGCGATAGCACGGCGGTCCTGGAGGTTGCTTGGCTTTGTAATCCAACATAGACAAGCTGACGACCGTTCTCATGCTACTTGAAGCATTCAGCGTTTGTGCAATGTTCGCTGCTCCTTGTGGTGTAGAACTGATAGTCAGCTTCCTCTGGCGACCAGTCAAAGCATTTCGAACCCGAGACCCCGTCTGGCAACTCCGAGTTGCGAGAGCGTAAACCCCTAAACCTCTACGCCAAAACCCCCAAACCTCTGAACCCTTAAACCTACCCCAAACCTCTGAATCCCAAAACCCCTGAACCCTAAACCCCTAAACCTCTGAACCCTGAAGCCTGAAGCTTAAACAGACATTGAGCTCTGCTCGATGTCATGGTCGATCGTCGCGCATTCAGACAATGGCGAGTAGCGGTCCGGAGCTGTTTTTTCCTTTGTAGTGCTTATGCAGTCTTAAAGTGTAATGTACCCCAAAACCCTATTGTAACAGTGCACGCCCCGAAAGTCGCAATCACCCCAACAAGTTTTACTGGCACACAGTAACCACTCCTGAAATCTTGAAGCCGTAAGCCTCCTGACTTCCTGCATGTGGAGTTTCAGCTTAACATGAACACGAACTAAGCAGGTCCTTGGCGCAAAGAAGTCCGAGAACTCCAAAGAGTGGAGCCCTTTAACTTTAAGAACCTGCAGAACCCCCGGCTTGAAGCCCATTTGAGCTTCAAAAGACCTGATAAACAAGATACCAAAACTAAACCCTAAACATCGAACTCTTTGCCCTTCAATCCCTAAAAACCAAAAACCGAAACCCTCTATGATAACCCTGATCGTATCCCATACAGCTTTTGCAAATATGAAGACCTTAAACTCTGAATCCGCCATGCGATTGGGAAAAGCATGTTTCAGCTCTAAAAGCATCTCCTGCCAGGCCCTTCCAAGGCGACGACAAGACCGCTTTCTGGCGGGCGAAGAAGTCGCTGAGGGAGCCCTGGCGCGCTCGCCCCGGCTTTTTCTGAACACCAACCCAAAGCCCTAGACACCTAAACCCCAAAAACCCTAAACCCCGAAACCCTTAACCCCAACCTCAAGCTAAAAACCTCAAGCTATGTAGAGTATCTGGAACCCCTCAGAAGCCGAGGCACTTCGTGGGAGAGTGGCGGTGATGAGAAGCAGAGCAGCAGGCGGGTGTGCGGGTTGCCAGAAGGCTCCTTTCAACATTTGCTTGCAAGAATAGGGGGTCCTTCTTAGGGTTGCTGTAAAGGCTCTTACAAGATTTCCTACAGAAGTCTGCGGGAGTTCTATGACACTTTGTGCTACATGGGGCCCTCTTCCCACTGGAGCTCCTCCGGGCCCTGCCAAAATGAGAACTACGGTGGAGAGCTTAGGGTTTAGGGGTTGTAGGGCTCAATCTACCTTGCTGGCTTACCTGACCTGATCTTGTCGTAGCTTCTATGAAACGTATAGTATCCTCCTTACCAGAAATTAGAAGGTTCTTCAGAAGGAGCCGGCCGCCACAATACAGCTTTTGTGTTTCCTTATAAAGCTGGGCCAGGGTGGCATCTTCACCCAACGTCCTGAAGCAGAAGGCGACGCATAGCGGTTCGCGAGAAGTCGGGATCCCTCCCGGGGACTGTGGGGATCGTACCGGATCCGATTGAGTCATCTGGGCTTGGGATTCCTGGGCCTGCCACACACCGTGACCTGAGCCTCACAGGCATTGCCTATTGACGTAGCAAGAAACAACACTAAGCTCACACACCGGAAGCGAAACCCTTGTTGCCGTGCTGACGCCATGCGGTGGCTCAAGAGTTTACATCGTAGGGCGACAATGTAGATACAAGCTGTCGTTTTGCTCATCTAGCTGCCGCCAAGGTACGTAGCATCTTGATACTAGCATGGCTGCGTATTCGAATTGCACAATTGCCGTTGCTCCTTTGTAGCTTGGTTCAGCAGAGTTCCGGTGTAGGTACACGCTTTGGGTTTGACTTGCAGCTGTCTAGGCAAAGGGCTTTGGAAGCGACCGAAGATTGGCGCTCAATGACGACTAAAGCCACCTGAAATCCTAACGCTCCTTCGATATCTAGATTGAAGTATTTTTCTTACTTCACGGTATGGGGACCTCTAGCTCCCATGCCCCGACAGTCGCGTGCGAACCGCACCTTGCTCGCCTCGTTCCGCCATGCTGGCGGCCGGGCGTGCATTTCTGCCTGCGGAAACCTGCGACAGATGCCCGGTGTTTGTCAAGGAGTTTGGTGTAACTACCTAGTATTACTGACCAGAGTCAAGAAGCTATCGTATTTACTTCTGTGCACTGTCGACCCCGTTAACAGTCGCCAGAACTAGAACCCGATTGAAAGAACCTCAGGATGTGGTTTCTTGGCGAAGGCGGAGCCCAGCTCCAGACTGAGGCCATCTTCTCTGGCGTTCCTCCAGCACTGCAGCACCGGCGCTCCTTAAGGCGGATGCGGACGCCTTACCATCAGGGTCTGAAGTACTTAGTACTAATATCCCCTTTACCGTCCTGTTTTGAGTTAGAGAAAGATGTACCCCAAGCCTCCTTTCTATTTAGCATTTTGGTAGTGCCATGATACAATTTACGCCCAAACTCCTTGAGGCGGACGCCCTATCTGCAGCGAATGGCGGTGGAGTTGCGAGCCGAGGAAAACCTCCGCCGTGTGCTCGCCTTGGGCCTGGGTGGCGGCCTCTTGCCAGCTGCCTTGGGGAATTCAGGTCGGTTCAGGGTTGCCAAGTGGCAAAAACAAAGGGTTTAGAGTTTCATAGGGTTTTTAGGGTTTGCACCTTGGCACCATGGAAGTGCTTCAGACATGAAGACGAATCGATCGATAGAGCCCCAAGTAGCAGGATCCTCGTCGAAAGTTGTCAGGACTAACGAAAAAGGGGCCCTAGTACGACGAAGCCTGCAGGTGTGCAGGTGCTCGCCGTCGAGCACTCCTCATCAGTTCGGGACCTAGCGAAGCGCTTCTTCGGCGTCGAGTGCGCGGGCCTGGAAATAGTCACAGAGGATGCCTTAGCTTTCGTGGAGGGAGGAGGAGGGTGTGGTAAGGGCCTCTTCGATGGTTGTGTCGTCGACATCTTTGAGGGCTGCACTTCCTCCACGCCGGCATTTACACGGTCGCCCGCGTTCCTCCGCAGTCTCAAAGAGCTGCTGATGCCCGGAGCCCCAGTTCTGCAAAACGTCATCGACTCTGCCGGTGACTTCCTTCAAACGGAGCGGCGGCACCGGCGCTTCGGTGCCTTAGGCAACGGTAAGACCGTGCGATGTACCTGCTGGGCCCGGAATGCTGCGCCTCTTGGGCCCTTGCGCCCCGTGACCTATCGAAGACAAACTGAGGAGCTCACGGAACTCCTCAGAGCGTATCGAGACTAGGCACAATTATGAACGGTTTTTGAGACTGCACATGTTCCCTTTCTAAGTATGGAGCCGCACTTTTTTAAAAAGTTATGGGTACTGAAATCGACATCGACGCCTAGGAGAGGTCTTCGAGGAAGTGGAGGTCTTGAGGCCCGTTTCCTGGGCTCCTGGCCTGCTCGTCCGCGCTCGCGATCGCAAGAAAGGGCTCCGATCGCAGGGGTTTAGGGGGTTTAGGAAGTTTAGGGGTTTAGGGAGTTTAGGGTTTAGTGATTAGGGTTTAGGGGTTTAGAGAGGTTTAGGGGTTGAGGGTTTAGATCCCTCCATTATTTCTGGGGATTTCTAGGGCCTTATAGAGATTCGTGCTCGCCGTGTTCACCCGTAAGGGCTCTCTTGCGCCTGCAGTGGCTCTCTTTCGGTGTCAATCAATCCGTATGTGTGTGTGTGTGTGTGTGTGTTTCAGCTTGCCAGGCTTCGCAGGGTTTGGGCTTTGCGGCGTCTGCCTCTTTTCCTTCGTCGATAGCTTGAGCTCAAGTCACAAGACGGCCGAAAGCCCTTGCAGACCATCGCCGAACTTCAGCCACCATAGCCGAACTGAAAGAGCCTAGGAAGAGCCCAGGAAGCTGCATGAAGGGCAGAGGCCGATAGGCGGCCGGAAGGTCTGATTCGAGCTGCCAGCCTTGCAATCCTCAGTCCACGGTCCAAGGCAGTTACCAGCGGGAGGCATATACGGCCTGAACCCAAACGGCCTGAAGGCCCTAAGCCCTGACTTTCAGTATCTACGTTTAAACTTTAAACCCTAGGCCTAACTAACGGCCGCACACGGTAGGTCTTCATCAGCGACGACGAGGGCCTGCTGCAGAAGGACGTTCCGGATGTGGACAGCCCGAGCCTGAACGAAGCCATCCACCAGGGTTGCTACTACTGAGGTCTGCTGCTATTACTTGTGCATTCTTTTTTGTCCGTACTTTTCTGATTTTTTGCACGACTACTATGTTTGTCCGATGTTCAGATATTTCCTGTGTTGTGTTGATTACCATGATTGTATACACTGCCCACCTTGTCATTAGTATTCTCTTTCTGGTACTGGCATTTTTGCTGCAGTCATCTTGTCTATTGTTTCGATCATCACCAGTTGCTTTGCTGTTTGCACGTTTTTCCAATCCGCCACGCTGACATACGACGTTTCAGTTTTGACTTTGCATGGGCTTTTCACTAGTGGGCTTCGGGTTCTGGGGTGGCAGCAACGTTCTTCATAGCCATATTGCAGATCCCTGAAAACCCGTATTATGCTCTACAGCCCTGGTGAAGCCTTCCCAGGAAACCCTTATGGGCCCTAACCCTTTCCAAACACCGTCTGCGGCGCCTTAAAGTTAAGACCCCTGTGCCCAGTGGAGCTATGATGGCTATAGAAGCCCCGGTCATGCTCCGAAGACTGAGTTCGGTGTAATTCGGCAAGGTGGAGACATGATCGATGCAGTCCCAGCAGCCATGGAAGAAGAAGCAAAGCTCGAGTCTGATGGTTGTGCTCGAAGGAAGAGTGGCAGGAGAAGTGAAAGCAGCACACGTGCTGGCCGTAAGAAGCAGGTAAGGCGTGTCATGTGGCGTCAGGGCGCAGAAACGGCAAGGGCGGCGGCAACCGGTGATGTTTGAGGCTCCTAACCTCTGAACCTGAGGCTTGTTCGGGCTGTACCTGGAGGTTCAGGCGTGGTTAGAAGTGGGGCTATATGAGTCCTTGATGGTTTATGACTTCAAGATTATCCGACATATACCGTACTTTGTATCTACCCATGAACCTCCAAGTAGGGCCCTTGAGGGGTTCAGGGTCCAGGCTTAAGTCAAGCTCCATCGAGACTTTGCCATCTTCCCAGGCAAGCTGCGCGAGTGTGCCACCGGTTTCGGCACCTGGATGGGGTGACAAAGCACGAAGCCAAGCCGAGAGTTGAAACTGAAGAGTTTTCCGGGTTTGGTATAGGATTTTGGTAGGGCTTCGGGCTTTTATTTAGGGATGGGCTGAAACTGAAGAGTTTCTCGGGTTTGTTATAGGGTCTCGATACTTAGAACATGGTTTTGGAGTGTAACATAGTAGAAATGTAAATGCGATCGCTAAGGAAGTTGCAGGGGTTTAGGGGTTTGAGGGTTCCAGGCCTGTGCCTGAAGTCTGGGTGTAAAGTAGAGCAGGTTGGTCGTGAGGGCCGGCCCACTGCATCCCTTCATCGAAACTTAGGGGTAGTTAGAAATATTTTTAAATTTTTGGTTATTATAATCCCTAAGAAACAGCTAAAATTATAATTTTTGCTAGGGTTCTAAGTTCAGTATAGGAAAAGGGTAGAGGATCTAGTCTTCTTGTTGTTTCAGGGTCTGCTGTCAGAAGTGTCGTAAAAACACGTTTTGGGAACCCAGTCTCTGCTGATCAGCTAAACCCCAAGCCCGAAGCCCTAAACCCTAAACCCTAAACCCAAACCCTAAACCCTAAACCCTAAACCGTGTGATAACTTTGTTGGGGACAAGACTTTCCAGGAAGACGGCATCTTGAGGGTGCCCGCGATAGTTTCCACACCGGTGCTTCAGGTGGTTTCAGTACCTGTTTCTTCCGTGCGAGGTTTGTGTGTCTGTCATCCCCAAGCTTCATTTTACTGTTGATGCTGTTGGTCTGTTCTTGTTACTTGGTCTGTTCTTCTTACGACCCTGCTGCTGCCACTGCTGCTCGCTGCTCGCGACGATGACGCTTACCACCACCAGAACTGTTACTGGCACCCCGGCGCCACCATCCTTACTACAGTCCTCGCTGCTGCTGCTACTGGTGGCATTGCTTTTGTGGCCTCTGCTCCACCAGTGTCTCGATGACGACCCATTGTACTGACGACTCGTTTGGACATGGCTTACCACCAAGGTGTGGGCAACGCCCACACCCTGTGCCAGACTTCGATTGCATTGGACTTCGGTGCCGCCCTGTCCCGTGGTGTTGCACTGAGGGCGGAAACAGCGCAACAGCCGCAAAAATTGACATCTTCCAGCTGGCATTTGATCCAGTGCCTTCCATAAACCAGGCCCTAAGCCCGAAGCCCCAAGGATCCCAGTCACTCAAAGCACAGAAAGGGCCACCGGCCCTGCCTGGGCTATGCCAGAACGCGACAGAGAGGGAGGTCCCGGAAAGTCCCAAAAATTGAGGGCCCAGGTTGCGAAAATTCGCTGTTCGATGTTATTTGAGGGGGACCTTGCTTCTGGAGAAGCCCTTGCAAAGTGCACATCATTACTTCACAGCTGTCCCCAAGCTGGGGTGACACAGTGACACAGTGTACAGCGACAGCTGCTGCGGATCGCCCCGGTACCGTGCAAAGCCCTCCCTCTTTAGGCTTAAGGCTTCAGGGCTGTTCTGGAATGCCGTTACCAGGGAAGTACAAGGCGACTTGGCACCGGTCCTACATTCTGAGTTGATGTCGGCTGGTAGGGCCTGGCCGGGCTTCACTTAAGGGAGGTGGTGGGCTTCACACAGTTCAGACAATTGCGACACTAAGGATATGCAGTCGCCATCAGAGATGAAGCATGTTTTCGTAAAGCGTAGTTGTCCCGCTGGCAGTTATGATGCAACTGAAATGGCCTAAACAGTGATAGTAGCTAAGTGGTAACAAGTCGTCGTGGAGACAGTCGAAATATCGAGATGCAATCGTGTTGGCTATAGCTGCCTCCGTTGCCATGCATGCAACTCCACTAGTACTAAGAGCCGCAGCCGCATGAGTAGTAGTAGTAGTAGTAGTAGTCAGTGGTATCTCCCGTCCAGCCCGAAGCGGTCTTGGCAGTGGCGGTAGTGCATGTACTGGTTTAGTAGCAGTAGTACTTTTCGTAGTCGTCGTAGTCGTAGTCGTAGTCGTAGTCGTAGTCGTAGTAGTCGTCGTCGTAGTAGTAGTAGTTCTACTACCTTTGTTGCTGCTGTCCTGCTCCTCCTCCTGCTCCTACTACTACTCCTACTACTACTACTACTACTACTACTACTACTACTACTAGTACTACTAGTACTACTACTACTTCACTACTACTACTACTACTACTACTACTACTACTACTACTACTACTACTACTACTACCACTACCGCTACTACTACTACTACTACTACTACTACTACTACTACTACTACTACTACTACTACTACTACTACTACTACTACTACTACTACTACTACTACTACTACTACTACTACCTACTACTACTACCTACTACTACTACTACTACTACTACTACTACTACTACTACTGCTACTACTACTACTACCACTACTACACTACTACTACTTTTCTCTACTACTACTACTACTACTACTACTACTACTACTACTACTACTACTACTACTACTACTACTACTACTACTACTACTACTGACACACCGTCGGCCCCGAGCTCAAAGCTTGAATCCACCAACGAAAGCCCCAAACCCTAGACCTCAATTTGACTCCCGACTTCCCCGCGGTGCGACTTCGTTCACCTGGGCGGGTGCCCCAAAAAGCTTACTCCCTGACCCCCCGAGCCAACAAAATCCGAAACCCCTCAAAAGAAACCCTGACCCCGAACTAAGCCTAGCGACCTAATATATAATATAGGGCCCTTGAGAATTAGACTAGAGTTTTGGGCCGTATATCATGCTATACTCACAATAAGGACCCCCCCCCCAAAGTTGGAGGTCCGAGTCTCTTAGAACATGCTATAATCACAGCAAGGACCCCACCCTAAACCCTAAACCAAATCCTAAACCCTAAACCCCAAGCCCCACCCCCCCCCCTAAGTTAGGAGATCCGGAGTTTTCCCGACCATGGCAGAGTCTCTGCGCCATGGCCGATCTCCAGCCGAACCCGGCCGGCTGCCAGAGCTTTGAATCCAACCTTTTCAGGCGGAGGGCCTTGGGGCTCGGCTGTGGGTTTTAGGGTTTAGGGTTTTAGGGTTTTAGGGTTTAGGGTTTAGGGTTTCGAATGCCTGGGAGAGAGAGAGAGAGAGAGAGAGAGGGTTTTAGGGTTTAGGGTGGGCTAGACTTGAGTCCAGTGGCAAAAAGGGTGTCTGGAGAGGCCGCTGTAGTACGTAGTGCGTTGTGGTAGTGGTAGTAGCAGTAGTAGTAGTGGTACTAGTAGTAGTAGTAGTAGTAGTAGCAGCAATACCCACTTATTATTGTAGTGTTTATGTTTTTTGTGTTGGTGTTTTGATTGGATGTATTTCACCAGAACGCTATACCCCAAAGGCTGTTTGACTGGCTGCTGAATGGCACGGCAATAAACGGGACACAGCCAAAACCCTAAATCCAAAGCTCCGCACATTCCTGTTCCTGATGCTGAGATCGAGCTTGCGCCCGATCGTCTGACAGACCTTCGTGAATTCAAAGTTAAAGGCCCCTCACGCCGAAATCTTCAGGGCTTAGGCATCAACCGGAACTTAAAGTACCATCCCGAAGCCCGGAAGAGTGTCAGGCAGGAGAAATGTCGTCACTGCGGACTCTCCTGGCGTCAGCCAGGGTCTCGGCGGTTCTGAAATCCGAAAGGCGTTCGAGTCTTGAAGCATTCTTTTTTGGGACTTTAAGAATTGAAATTTGGGAAGTTCAGGTGATGAGAGTATGAAGTGTGTGGGTTTCGGAATCAGGGTTGGAGGTAAACGAGGGTTCATGTCGGCTTGGCTTTTTCCAGACTGACAGAAGATACGCATTGGAGATCGTCACAGTCATCATCATACATATATACACACATATATAGATATATATGTTAGTACGAAAATTGTCATTATTGTTACTGCTACTAACCTCGTTATCAGCATTGGTATTAGTATTGTTAAATCATTTGGATCTTGTTTTCCGGGGAGCATGTAGCACCCAGGCACCCAGATCTCTACGTCAGATCTTCCTGGACCATTGCCGAGCTCAAACACGCTGTGTGAAAGGTCATTGGTGGAATTCCTAACCCTAGGGCTCCACGCAGAATAGTATTAAGAAAAGTCAAAATAGGAATATTTTAATGCGACTGCGAACCATAATAATAGCAATACTTACTGGGTTACATACCATGTCGTTAGTAGCCCACTATTTAGAAAACTGGAGCCCTAGGGCAAGATCATGATCGTTTTCTGGCCGGAGGCACGCCAATGCCTTGGACTCCGCGACAGAGAGCCGGCTGCGCCGCGCAGAGGAGGTATGCCTGGAACAGTGCTCTTAATATAGTAGGGGCCTTAATATTTAGAATGGGGTTCATTCTGTGGTATATTATACTACAACAGTCTATAAGAAGGAACCCGCCAAAAAGTGTAGGTAAGAGGTGAAACCCGAATGCTGCACCCTAATTTCGCTCGGCCGGAGCGTAACCTGATTTAGGGCTTTATTATGCTTTTGGGGTTCAGGGTTCGTCATGATCTATCACATGCCTGTTCCTTCAGTGCAGCTGGGCTGCAAGAGCGTAGCAAGACTCAGCATGGAAAAGCCACTTCTAAGTTCACGTGGGGAGCTTCAACCCTGAACGGCTTACATGAAAACAAGCTCGGCAGGTAAACCAAGGATCGGTCCCTTTGAGTTTCTTTTTACCAGGATTTAGGGTTGTGAGTGCATTCGTCGTCTGATCTGTGAGCTCTTTATTAACGCCGTGTCTGCGCTGCAAGTATCATGCTTCGCGCACAAATTCGGAAAACAGAAGACTGAACACGGGAGTGCAAGCCACAGGCAGCGGGATAAGCATTTCTTTAGACCAGAACATTCTGTGCACAGCCGTCAACACGTCGTCCCGCTTGCGTGCTCTGAACGGTGGGATCACCGTCAGTACTAAACCCTTAGCCCTAAAGCCCTATAATAGACCTCAGAAGCCGTGCCTGCATCAGCGAGTGTGCGAGTCGAAAGCCCTATAAGGCCTAAAGCCTTAAACCCTAAAGCCCAAAACCCATCGGTCTTTCCTGGCATC